CTGAAACAAGTAAATTCCATTTACGATTTATTTTTCCTACGATATTTTTTTTTATCCAACGTATATGTCTACACACACATTCATACATACATACATGCATACATACATATTGAATATAAAATATTTTCCTTTCGAATAGAAGTATTCCGGTTGAATAGAAAATGTCACAGTTCGGGAAAAAATACAATTACAATTATTCACTGCACCGTTAACGTAAGAATAGAAAATTAGAGAACTCCGATACAGAAGTTTTGCTTTGCAGAAAAGTTACACAATTTCGTTTAAAGAAAAATATTGTATAAGGAAAGAGAAGTAAGGAGAAAAAAAAAATAAAAAATGGAAAATCGCAACTGCAACCTTTTCCCTGCTTATCTTCATCCAAAGAGGAAATATATAGCCCGGCCATTTTGCGTGGTCTACCAGATAGAGTATGTAGCATGGAAGAACTCTCAGTAAACTCACATAATAAGACCGAAAGCGATTTCTCTAAACTTTTCTTCGACTTTTCTTAGGAGGAGCTTTCGAGCATCGAGAAAAAGCCTTTCTTTTTCGATGATATCGATTCTCTTCGCCTAACGGTCACGCTCGAACAAAATGGTAAGTTCGATTTAAACGAAGACGAATTCAGTAATACATACATATTATATTATATTATCGATTTTTCTTCTCTCTCCCTTTAATCAACGACAGAAAAGAGAATTTGAATTTCATGAAAAAAGTTATTTCGAAGTATGTATATGAATGCACATAGGTATATATACATTGCCAAGAACGTTCGCTTCGTTTCGTTCGTTACTCTAATTGTTTCTCGATTTATTCCAAGCATAAAATACGTTTTAAGACTCGCAATTAGCCACCAATATATTTCTTTCTTTTTAAATCGTCGATAAAAGTAGAAATATGCGCTTTCTTATTTCAACTCCCTAGCCTCTCTCTCTCTCTCTCTCGAACTAAATGAACTCTTTTAAAATCCCAAAGAGAGACGTTTTAAAAGAAGTATACTGAATCGTCCTGGAAAAAAAAAGGAAGGAAAAGAAAGGAAAAGAAAAGAGAAGGAATGAAAGAAAAAAAAGAAAAAAAAAGAAGGAATAAACGTAAAAAAGAATCGAAGTGGCGATATTATAAAGTGTACCTTTGGGAGGCAAGCGGCGGTTTTTCCATACGCAAAATATAATTTCACAATGCAACCGTAAACGACGCATACCGCAGAAAATTAGAAACTTGCACGTAAAGTGAAAAGCCGCGCTGGTAAAGGCTGTGAAGTCAGTTAGTAGTGGAAAGAGAGATTTTATACGCGACGTGTTCCTCCGCGTTATATACGGTGCGCGCTTTACTGAAAAACTTTTAATATAAACGTCGAAGTAAAACCAAAGAGTATCATAACGTGCGGTAATCGATCTAGGGTCGACACGTGGCCCGAGAAAACCAACGAGAGAACCGGAGCTTTAATTTTTCTTTACATCGGTCAAATCAAAGGGATCCGCACGAACAGACCCTAGTTTGAATATCCAACTAAAGAGCTATTTATCGCTATTTATCCTTGTACTACGTCTCTTCGAAGAGCCATGATTACGTATACACGATGTACCTACATATACATAGATTCACCTTTTACGAAAATTTCCACATGATCTGTGTATAAAGGATATAGTATTTCGCTTACGACGAACCATTTCACCCTGTTCTATCTTACATTACACGCGCAATAGCGCAACTTTCGCGGTAATTCGACCATTCAAATTATACATTAAACTGTGCGCCATGGAATTTTGCTTCGTTACGTCAGTCGAAACGAAAGGGAAGAAAAAGAAAAAAACAAAAAGCCCGTACGTAAGTAATAGATCTACTCTATTTTGCGCGTAAAGTATGCGTACAAGTCGAATACGGACAAGGGATATGGAAAATCGGCGTAGAAGTAACTTCTTGTCGCGACAGATTATATTGAATCTCAAAGATAAACTTTCTCGTGGCAAGCTTGACGAAAAAGTAAAGACGACGAATATTAGTTGGTTGGTAGTTCGTCTAAAACGAAGGAATACGAAGAATAGCACGGAAAAAAAGGGAAACCGTTGGTAACACGATTCATATCTACCTCGATCGACTTTGAGATTATAAACGAATAAAGTTTTGGTTAGTTAACGTCGATCGCAGTACTCGTATATTCCTACCGTGAACCTTCGCCCTTTCTTTCTTCGCGATAATTAATGATTCTCTGCCGTCGTTTCCACCGTTTTGAAAAATAATAAATCTAACTGAAAAATAACATTCGCGTAATGCTTTATTATTCGATACTATATAACTCAATGTTTTTTTTTTTTTTTTTTTTTTTTTTTTTTTTCCCCGTTATTCCGTCGAGAAAAGGACGATTGTCTTTTCGACTCCCAAAACATAAAGATCTTAAAACGATCGAAACTCGGGAAAAGGAATTTTCACTTATGCTTCTTCTTTCTGCGTATGCATACAAAAAGATATATATTTAACAATCGCGAACGCTCTCGATTCGAAAAATAAGTTGTTCGTTTTCTTTTCTTCTCTTTCGTTCTCTACGCTAAGAAAGAAATTCCATTGTGAAGACCTTCGGGAAGGAAGCTAGCTAAGAGTCCTTTTGGAATTATTTCTATCAATAGACCAAGCTTTCTCTTTCTTTAGTCCTTTTCTTTCTCTCTTCCTTCCTCCATTTCTTTCTTTATCTATCTGTCTATCTATCTATCTATCTCTTTCTCTTTCTCTTTCTCTTTCTCTTTCGACTACAAAAGGCAACCGATCATTGAAAAGCACCCAATCTGATTCCGTATGGACTTGTAATGATATGATACGGGCGCGCCGGCCTGGACGAACATTCAATGAGAATTTTAAGCCATATTGGAAAGGTATCGATATCGCACGTACATACGTATACAACTACGTATGTAGGTCGATATTCGAGTAAATCGATACACAACGTACGATGGTTTTAACCAAAAACATGACACGCATCATCGAAAACTATTTAGGGTAGAATAGCGACCTACGCTCCGGCATTTTCTATTCGGAATAATTTATTAATGTTCTTCGGCACTTTCGATTTATATATGTATCGCCTACTAATCGAAACGATACATCATCATCAAGCGTTCACAATTTTTAACAAAACTTTGACTTTACTCTATTCTCGATCTTCGCTGAACTCTTGACGATCGAGAAAGGAGAATCTTTCATGTTGGATTTACAAATTTCCATCGATCATCTACTTCCGGACAATTTCGATTTTTCTCATCCACACCTTTATCGCGGCTTTGGCATGTTTTCCGAGTGAATTCAAAGTCGAATCTTCTTAAAGAAACGTCGTCGTTTTATTAAATGGAGACGGGAAAGGAGAATACTCGATAACTCCGAGCACGAAACGACGAGAACGATGACGCCGACGACGACGACGATGACGACGACGACGAGTAGAAAATTTCAAAAGAAGCCGGAAACTCTTTTTGAAAGCTTACGAATGTCGATGACAATAAACGGTAAGCGCTTTCTATTTCCCTTCCCCTCTCTCTCTCTCTCTCTCTCTCTTTTGCTTTTTTTCCTTCTTTTCCTTCTCCGATAAAAATCTCTTTGCGTAGCTTTGTCCAAAAATTATGTTCGTTATTATTGGAAAAGCGACAAGTCCGAAATCGTACAAGTTGAATAAATTTATCGATGAAAATTATATTTTTACTTTGAAAATACAACAGCCCACGTTTTCTCCCGGAAGCTCCTTTTTTTCATTCGCCGTGGAAGAGCTTCAAGTTTCGAGGAGCAAGTTTTATGGATCCGTAAGTCGTTCGAAGCCGACATAGTGCCAAAGTCTTAAGCTTATATGAGATAGAGGTGAAAGAGTGAGCAAAAGAGAGAAAGGGGAACATTTTTTTATTTGAACAAGAAAGAAAGAAAAACGAAGTTTTCGAAAAAAAGAAACTTTCAACTTCCTTTCCCTCTTTTTTCCATCAATGTCCCACAACTCTTTTCAATCTTCTTCCACCTACGGATATTCGCCAATTCAATTACGATCTGAAGAAATCGATGAAATAATTTCCGGATAATAAGTCATCTGAAATTATTAATAGATTATTAATCGTTCATAGCGAATCATTCATATCGAAAAGTTTCAAAGATTCGTACGATCCATACTACCTTCTTTTTCGTATTTCTTTCTTTAATTCGTTAATTCCGTGTCGGCGTCTTTAAAGGATAATTTATGATTTCGAATAAGAGAAACGGACCGAATCGAGCCGTAAGATTTTATCGCGATTCTGCGTTCCTCGTTAATGTCCCTTCCGTCGAATGAACGACGGCGACGCGCTTGCGTTTCGCTTCATTAATCTTTCAGCAACACCCCCGTACGTTTACTCTCCTCGTTCCACCACCCGTACAGCTTACCCCCACGTCTCTTCTTCTGCCCCCGACCCCTCCGGCCCCTCTCTCCCAATACCATTCCTTTTCCGACGACCGATCGTCGGATCCTTTGGATTCTTTTCGAGTCGAAATCCACTTCATCTCCCACGGAAAGACGCAACTATTTCTTCGCCCAACTAAATGACTTGTAAAAGGAACAATGTCGAGAAACGAGAATAAAAATCAAAATTAAGCTTTCTTTTTTTCTCTCTTTCGACAACGAGAAACGAGACAACGTCTAGGATTGAATAAGAAAGACGAGAAAAAAGAAAGGAAGGAAGATGCAAACGATTTGTAAAAAAGAATCTTATCGAGATAGGAAAGGAGATCGATCGATCGAAATCGATAAGGACGAATTGAAGACGCACCTGTGCTCGTAGTAGCGCAACGTGACATTCCAGGTTCACCAATGACGAGCTCGAAGATGAATAAAATGCCAAAGGAGAGTACACTTTAAAATATGGGCAACGATGGAAAAAGATGAAAGATCATCCTCTTTCTCTTTCTCTCTCTCTCTCTCTCTCTCTCTCTCTTTCTCTCTCTCGCGCGCGCGCGACTATCCGCGATGAATCATATAGATACTTGCGTGGTGG